GGACTTTAGTTGAAAATAATAATGATCAATGTCGCTGGGCTTTTAGAATAAAATTAAATGATGATTGTACAAAGAGATATAAAGCTCGATTAGTCATAAAAGGGTATTCGCAAACAAAAGATATTGATTATAAAGAAACGTTCAGTCCAGTAGTACGGTTCGAATCTGTAAGAACACTGTTAAGTGTAGTAGCAAAAAATAATTATTCTCGGTCAGTTTGATATTAAAACTGCTTTTTTACATGGAAACTTAAATGAAATTATCTTTATGAATCAACCGGAAGGATTCAGTGATGGAAGTACAAAAATATGTATACTCTTAAAAAGCTTATACGGGCTGAAGCAAGCACCCAGATGCTGGGCTGAGCATTTCTCAATCTTTCTTAGAGAATTCGGTTTTGAACAAAGTTCAGCAGATCCTTGCTTTTATATGTATAAGAGAGATAATGAAAAATTGTTCTTGGCTATTTACGTTGATGACGGTCTAATTGCTGCAACGAATGAAAATTTGTTAGGTAAATTTTTTAAAAGTTTAAATAAACAATTTGAGTCAACGAGTACAAAGCGAGTAACTTGTTTTCTTGGTATGGAAATTGAAAAGTTAAAAGATGGATCAATCTTTATAAGTCAAGAAAAATATATTAATTTGATATTAGACAAATTTAATTTAATTACAGCTAATTCAGTTTCCACTCCAATTGAACCTGGTTTTGATACGAGTGATTTAGAAAGAGTAGAAACAAATGCGCCTTATCGGGAAGCGGTAGGGAATTTGATTTTTCTACAGGTTGTCAGTAGACCTGACATTGCGTATGCAGTTAATATTGCTGCGAGAATGTTAGATAAGCCAAGCGAAAAATATTGGTCACTTGTAAGAAGAATTATGCGTTATCTTAAAGGAACAGTAGATTTGGGACTTTTATACTGTAAAAATGGTCCATTTGAGACTTACTGTGATGCAGATTATGCAGGAGATAATGAGTCTAGAAAGTCTACCTCGGGTATTGTTTGTAAACATTCAAGTGCGGCAATAACTTGGCAGAGCGAGGATTGCTCTCTGAATGTAAGATAATTTATGAAAACAATAATTTGTACATCGACAATATGAGTGCAATTAAATTGTTAAAAAATCCTGAATTTCATCGAAGAACCAAGCATATTGATGTGAAATACCATTATGTGAGAAATTTGTATCAAGATGGTGTAATTAATGTAATTTATGTTGAAACTAAGGAACAAGTGGCAGACATCTTCACAAAGGCTTTACCACGAGTAACATTTGATTATTTAAAACAAAAATTGGGCCTTGTAAGCAAAAAGGATGTTCATAATATTTTAATAAATAAAAATTGAGTATTTAGATTTTTAGAGGGAATGTCAAAGTGATTAGAAAAACTCTCAATAAAAGGGCAATCTTGTTACGAGCCTAAATTGATTTTAAAAGTAGAAGGGATCGTGATGATGTCTCCTTCTTGTGTCCTAATCGTTTTTGCTTTCAGTTGAAATAAATGCCTTAATGTAAACACACGTGTTACAAGTCTATCGTATTATTTCTTCCAACCTGAGAAATTATTTAACAAAATCAAAGGTATATTATCTAGTTTTAAAAGGCCATAATTGATTTAGCTCTATATCTATTATTCAATTAACTAGAAGCATTTGAGTGACAGCGTGTAAATTGTAACAACTGCACAAAGTGAATGTCGGTTGTTGTTATACCAAGAATCATATATAACATTTCTAAATTGAAGGGCTGGCTGCAATAAGGGGATGAATGCAAGACTTGGAAGGGATACTACCAGTCGGGTATAATTTTTTATGACAACTTTTATTAATTAATGTGGACAACCAAGGCAGTTTGTTAAAGCTTAATCCTCATAGAATTGATACTGAAAAATGTACTTTCTTAAGTATAAAGGTTTATTAATTATTTAAAAAATATCAAGCAGAGAAATATTTACTTTTGGTCTCTAAAAACCAATGTCCCTATTTTTTTACTTAAAAAGCTTGCATATAATTTTTAAACATATTGCAGCAAGTTCGTACATAAAAACTAAACATTTTTTCCTTTGGAACCCTATCTCTATAATTCGCTGTGTCTAAGATATTCCATTTGTAACAATTGCACAGCGTAACAACCACACCTAGTCTCCCCTACTTCAAATATATACAAAAACATCCCAAAAAGCCCGGAGGTCTAAGTTAATTTATTCCTTTTTAAAAAAATTTTTAAATGTGTTATTATTAGGCCTTTTAAAGTAGGATCCCCCTTTAAGTAAATTTGTTTATAATGTCATCAAATGATATTTTTGAACAATAATTATGTACAGCTGTTAATGATGACGTAATTCAGAAGCCATTAGAAAAAAAATATGATTTTTCAACTATAAATAGACGAGCTATTTATTTGTTAACTTAATTTAAATTAAAATTTGTTTAACATTATAAACAAATTTAATACATACTTTATAAAAAAATAACTATATATGGGGCATTCCAGGCCAAATCGGAAATTATTTTGCTTTTGCATCTCAAATTTTTTCTAAACATTTTTTTCCTTTTAGTACTCTTTGACTACCTTGAATTTTTTCAAATTTTTTCATAAAGCGGTTCAGGAGATACAAATTTATGAAAAATGACGTTTTTTACGTAAATTTTTTTTTAAATGCTTATAACTCGGTCAAAAATTGATCAAATTGGACGTATTTATAATGAAAAGTTTTGTTTTCACATGTAGTTTTAAATAAAAATATTTTTAAGATGCAAAAGCAAAATAATTTCCGATTTGGCCTGGAATGCCCCATATATATATATATATAAATTTTTTTATTACAAATAATAATATATACTTATGCTACAAATAATAACAAATTTTAATTAATTAGTTAATAATAATAATTTATTATTGTATTTTTATGATATACCTATTAATTAATAATTGATAATAAATTAATTAAATATTTGATGTTATTGTTGGTGAATAATGTTTTTAAAAATCTTGAAAATTTATGCAAGCTGACAGTGAAAAATTATTTAATTTTTCACCAATCATCGATACGAGTCTTTCTAAGTATCTAAATTCAAAAGATTTTTTGTAATTCATGCAAAAACGCGGCTGCACTCTACACGGAAAGAAAGTTATTATATTATTTATTATATTAGAAGTATTAAACTTTAATAAAAATTATACTGTATTTAGTAAAGTTATATTAAATATCGAAAACTTTTAACAAATTTTAATATAACTTTACTAAATTTTATATAGGTACGTTTTGTTAAAGTTTCACAGTAAAAAGAAAGTCTTATTTTAAAGCAGGAAAGCAGCCTTAAATTAAGATACAGTGAGTTCTCGCGAGTCGTTCAACTCACGAGTCGTTCAAACTCGCCAGTCGTTCAACAGCTGATCAGTGTCCGATTCACGAGTCGTTCAATTTCTAGCATGCGCGCGCCGGTGCTCAGTGCTGTGTAATTTAAACGGACCAAAGTCATTGAATATTGTGTCTTTCGGGGCGATAAATATGTTTCACACATCCCTGAAATCGCCTTGGAGGCGTGGCTTATGCGTTGAACGACTCGTGAGTTTTATGATCTTGAAAATTTTCGAGAATTGAACGACTCGCGAGAACTCACTGTACAACATTTTTGTATCCTTTAACGCATTATAGCAGACAGTGCTGAATTTAAGACCGATCTTAAATTAAGATTTACTGTGTTAGTTTTGTTGATAGCAAAATTTTCCTTTGTCACATTTTGTCCTACACTTGTAAAATACTTTTATAAAATTTAATAATAACATCTTTCCGTGTAGTGAAAATAAACACGAGTTTATAGTGAAAGAACAGTTATATTAAATTTTTGTAACAGTGTTCTTGAACACTGTAGGAACAATGTTACTTCAAAATTCTATAACTAATTTAGAACAAATGTTACATGTCTGTTATAGAACAGATACAGAACAACTGTTCCAGAACAAATTTAGAACAAAGCTCTAGAACTGTTCTATAATAAAATTGTAACACTTATTCTAGAACACTGTTCTTTTTTTGGTCTAGAACAGTTATAGTACGTGCACACTGGGTACTAATGGGAAAATCGTTAGACTCTAGTTTGTCACAACACTTTTATACATGGGATTTTGCAAAGAATATTTCCGTTGCTACATTGCTCTAAAATATTTTTCAACGTTATTTAAAAGCTATATTCCGAAACTATGTTTGCTTAAATATATAACGTCATAAAACTTCGTAAAAAATCAATACAAATTACTCTTATAGAAACCTTGTAGAACTTTCATAATATCCAAATAATAAATTGCACGAAATGTTTGTGTGATCACTTGTTAAATAACTACATTTGTTTAAAATTTACCAAAAAAAATTTTTTTATTGCATTTAAACAATGAAGAACTTGTTTTTTAAATTTATTATTTTGATATTATGAAAGTAGAAAACATTGAAAGTTTATAAGTGTTTTATAATGTTTTCAATAAAACTTTTTTACCAGAGTCCCATTTCAGCGAACGAACCTTGCAAAGTAAGGTTCTCTTGCCGAAATGATAGGGAAATCTCTTCTAACACGTCTTTTAAGTGTAGATGTTACTCGCGTAATAAAAGTATGAATTCATACTTATAAGGTAAAAACAGCGCCCATGTGATAAAGCAGCAATCCACTGCCGTGCTATAAAGCCCCTTTTTTTGTCTGTGTAGAAACAGTGCTTGTACTGGCTATATGTTTATACAAGAAGCCATTTAAACAGAACAGAACACTGTAGAAACATGCAGTCATTAGTGGGTTGAAACGACGAGGGGTTCCGGGAGGCTAAGAGATAGGGAATTTGTGACGGCCAATACAATGAATATTACCTAAATTTACGTTTACATAGAATTGCAAAAAATGCACAATAATCTCGACGACTGACTGCACTGCACTGTTTTAAGAATATACAGTAACCTTTTTACTAGGAAAAAAATTGAATTAATTTTAACTATGCAAAAAAGTCACCTCTGAATAGTCATTTCGAAATTATTTCCGGTCCTGACAATAACATCTTGTGCATCTTTATGCCTGAGGTTAAACATGTCCGTGTTGTTGACCCTAATGACAGCGTCTCCAGCTTTTAAACCTGCAGCCTCAGCAGGTGATCCTCCATTCACCTGAAAAGAATTTTACTTTTTAATTCATCACATTCCATTAAAAATTGAAATTCCTTTTAACTCTTCTCTATCACTATAAAAGGATTCTTCAAGCGCAAATGCTCATAAAAATAACTAGTACTATTTTATGCAAATTCCAATCTCTCCACAAAAAATATCTTTGTTAAACTCTAAATTTAACCACATATGATTAAAGAAGATCACTGTTAATATAATATAACATTATTGTACATGATTTATAAGACTGTTAGAGAATTAAAGGGGCGGGAAAAAAGGGATTATTATAGGGTTATTAGATTAGGATTTACGTTTATTTTATATTTTTTAACGAAGCCAAAAAGGGCTTATGGAACTGGAAACGGAAACCCGGTGCTCTTGGCGGATTGCTTATTATGTTATTGCGATAATTAGAATAAGTTAGATTAAGCGTTGCGATGTAGTTTTAAGGAATTTTTGTATTGATTAGGTTAAGCAGATGATAATGTATTAGGGAGTCTCGAACCCTGCGTGAAGCAGGGAGAGTAAATAAACATTGATTTATAAGACTGTTTAATTTATCTTAATTTTGCGTATTAATAAATTCGTAAAAAAATTAATTATAGGTCGAAATTAATTTTTAGGAAAATTAACATTCATGATGTCATTTAAATCGACTATCTATAGATTATTTGCTGCTGGATTCCCACTTCTGCAGTAGTATCTATTTTTAAAAAACTCACAATTGACACACACTACTGTTTTATCTTTTCAAAGACTCTACAGTCTTTATATTTAAATTACGAATGCAAAAAGCTTCTGATTACAAAATACACATAGCAAAATTTTGTTGAAAATTAACAAAAAATTAAATTGTGATTTAAGGTTAAGTTTAAAATCAATGAGAATATCAAAGCCGTGTCAGTTTTTTATCTCTTTCTTAGATCACTTTTCAAAGCTCAACCAATTTCAAACTGGTCGTTTGATTAAATTAGAATAATTTTTTTAAACATATTTTAAACTCTGTAAAATAACTCTGTACAATTTAAATTTCCTCTTATAAGGAAATATTGAATATCAAACTTGAGCAAAAATTATACCGGAAATATTAACTTGCCATAATCAGGCAATATTATATCAATATTATATTATATTATATTTATTATAATATTATATCAATGTTGTATGCAATATATTAGCCTAATTATTAAAATTTCGTCGGCTTATAGAAATGTATAAACCAATATTGTCTGAACATTGATTAAACATGGTAAGTCAATATATATATATTTGCAGTGTAATTTTCGCTCAAGTTTGATATTTAATATTTCGTCACATGTGGATATTTAAATAACCATACATTCTTCCATGAGCTTCGCCACTCAATATTTCTAACCTCGCTGAGCGACGTCCTGTCGAGTTTCAGAAAATTCTTGGTGCTGTATGGGCAAGTAATCTTCAAGGGTTAAATTACCACGTAAAAATTTAAATAACTTTTACATACTCTCAAGATTGTTTTTTAATGTACTATATAAATTTTATTCTGATTTAATTTTTAAGATTTTGTAAGTGATGAAATAATGGATTGCATTATAAGAAATGAAATAAATAGATCTCCGGGAAAACAGAGTAAAGAACAGATATAAAAAGGAGGAAGTAAACACACATCAATCCTCGAGACATCAAGGCCTCGATTCCCAGCATTCTCCTGGTGACAGCATCGGAAATAATTAATGGACCTCGACCCAATCGAAGACGATCAGACCGCGGGGGTGTGGTCTTCTCTATAAATACATTTCTAAATCATCGACGTTATTTTTCTTGTATTTTAAAACACCAGCAGGTATTTTTCCCATTTCAAAGATATTCTGTGTATTTTTTCATCAGATCTTGAATTTGCGACGATATAAAACTAGGTCGACCGAAAAATGTGATACAGAAAACGGACAATGTTCGCTTGCAAGCAAAGAGGATTTACTCCATCATGTTACGCTCTCTTTCTGCTTTATTTTTGATCGTTCACCTCCCAGAATTAGAAGAAGAAGAAGAAGAAGTAGAAAAAATAGTAAACCAGATTTTCAATAGATTATTTGTTTTTATAGGAAACAGTCACTTTCTCTTTCAAGCACTAAAAATGGAACTAAAATTGTGAAATCTAATGCGTTGATAGAAAATCATGATAAGTGAAACAATTTTTATTCTAAAACCTCTTTAAAAATCCTGTCTATTGTTCTATAATGAATTTGCAATATTGAGTTCACATTAAAACGCCACATAGAATGTCATTACTCTAGAAGGAAATCACGTTTTTGGAAGTTTTTAAAAATTTTGACCAGATAATTCCGACGTGCTACAGTTTTTATAGAGGTCAACTTAAAGCTGAAACTCTGTATTAATTTGTAACAACAAATTGAATTATCTGTCAAACATAATATTTTGACAGTTGTCAAGCGTATAAAAATTGACTCACACTGTCCGGTCCCTAAATATAACTGTTTTAAAAAATGATTGGGTTTACTTAAAATGTTAATCGGGTATTTTTGAGGTCGCTGATTACAAATATGAAATCAGATTTCAAAAATTCAAAAAAGGGAACGCCTTTTTTCAAAATAGATTGATATCATTCGAATGCTGTTACAGTGAGTTCTCGCGAGTCGTTCAACTCACGAGTCGTTCAAACTCGCCAGTCGTTCAACAGCTGATCAGTGTCCGATTCACGAGTCGTTCAATTTCTAGCATGCGCGCGCCGGTGCTCAGTGCTGTGTAATTTAAACGGACCAAAGTCATTGAATATTGTGTCTTTCGGGGCGATAAATATGTTTCACACATCCCTGAAATCGCCTTGGAGGCGTGGCTTATGCGTTGAACGACTCGTGAGTTTTATGATCTTGAAAATTTTCGAGAATTGAACGACTCGCGAGAACTCACTGTACTCTGGGATTTTTGGGGTCGCTGATATCGAATATGAAATCAAATTTTATATTCGTAATCAGGGACCCTAAAAACACCATATTAACAAGTTAGAAGCAAATTCAATTATTTTTTAAATAATTGTATATATGGATAATTTTTTAGCTTGATAACTATCAAACAAATCAAAACAATGAAGTTAAAAATATTCCAAAGTATTAAAGACTATTTAATTATATCCTAATATTTAAAGATCTAAAGATAAATAATTAAGTTACGAGAAAACAAAATGAACATTTTATAAAGCTGTATATCGAACGAAATATTCGATAAAAAAATATTTATCGATTCGAAAAATTTGTTGACAACTACCCGTTAACGGGTATAAATTTGTCACGTATCTGTACCGTAATAATATAGTTTCAACTATTTACTATCTAGTTCCGGTATCGTGAAATGTTATTGTAACTATGTAGAAATGTAACGCTACAGAAATCAAGTTTATAAATAGTTTCACTATATCAGAACAATATGCATAAAGCTATAATACGGGGTCTAGTGTGAATTGCACCTTTAGAAACTTTTTTAATATATCCATATTGAATTACGATAAATATATTTGTTGTAACAATATTATCAAAGTTTATAATTATATAAACTGTTATTAATTTTTTTAAGCCCACTTTATTTATTTGTTATTATTTTAAATTCTAATTTATTATTTCACTTCACATTATTAACAAACGTACATATATCACTTAAACTAAGACGGAAAAATATCACACGCACGGGGGTTTGAACCCTAGACCTTGAAGACGTAAAACGAATACACATACCATACAGTCATGCTGGCTTGGAAGATATGTTACCAAAAGGTAAAAAAAACAAACACAAAAATCGCACTTTTCTAACAGCCATTTCTCCTACAAAATTTAACATTTTTACACTTTCTTTACAAAAATGGAAAATTAGAGTGTCAAAGTTTCCAATGAAATCATTTTTGACTATGAGCAATAAAAAACAATTAGTAAAATATCTAATTAAAATGACCTGTAAATAAGCATTTTTGACGCGTCCCAAAAAATAAACTGTTTGAGTATATCAACCGCACTGACGATGAAGAAGTTCCATGTCAGCGATTGGACCTTCAACATGTGGAAGGGGAAATTTTTCAAACACTTTAATTTTTGGCGACCTGAGACTCTGTTGCTCTCTGCGCAGACCGTACTAAGAATGCATTGACAGCACCATGCAGAAGTGCACATTTTGTTTTAAATGAAACTTAGCTGTTTTCTCATGCTTTTAGCTATGCAAGGTATAGTTACCAAATTCAACACGTTAGTTCACCATTTCCATAAAGAAAATGTGAATTTATATTTATTTACGCAAATGGGATTCTATCTCGTATATAGTTTGACCAAATATTTTTCTACAATTTTGTAATTTTGACAAATTTTTTGGCTCTACATAAAAATTAGTCATAAAATTACCTTGAAAGTATTCTCTCGCACTACATATAAAATTGTAGGGGGTACTGCTGATTAATTATTATGCATTAGAATTATTTCAATCTATTTATTTTTCAAAAGTTATAAAGCGTTGTTACCTTGCTACTCTGTGTTAGTTTTTTCCTCGGTTTTCTATAACTTTTGTCTCTTTTATGATAACGAATAAGACTAGAGCGTTAGAAAACTAATCCGTCGATAAGTAGTTACCTATAGAGATATGTAAACAAGCGACATTTTTATCAAACTCAGCGGAAAGAAACCGGAATTCAAATCAGTAAAAGCAGTTCATACATGTCGGGAGGTTTGACGTCGAGAATGATGTGCACTGTCGATTACACATCAAGCCTGCATCATTTCGGCATAATGGATGCTACTAAGTGTTTCCGAAGGGAAATTTTGGGCTGAATACGAATTCTGGGTCCAAAATGCTCCATCACGTCAAGTTTTTGAGAAAAATGAGGCTGAAACCCCTAAAATCAGCGTATTTGGCACTTTTTGAAAAATTGTGGGGCAAATTCCTGACGTGATAAAAACTTTGCTATTATCAGAAACTAAAGCTTAATTCATGCCCTTTCAAATGAGCTCTTTGCCAACTAATATGCTTCA